CAGGAGAAGGTCTGGCCCGGATGGAGATATTCTTATTTTTAACATCCATCCTGCAGAACTTTACTCTGAAGCCCGTTGTAGATCGCAAGGATGTTGACATTTCTCCCATAGTCACCTCTCTGGCAAATATGCCCCGACCTTACGAGATCTCATTTATTCCACGTTAGACAAGTGAAGACAGTTGTCAAGCCACCACCAACATCAGAACTCTTCTTGGACAACAGTCATTGCCCACCCTGATGTGATTGAGACAATCAGATAACTTCCTAAATTCTTTACAGACACAAGATTTATACTTTTCTATGTGATCCGGGAAGGACCTGCTCCAGCAGAAAACAATCCTCCACAAAGCTTAGACTCCCACACGCTGTCCAAAATAGGTACATACCTTGACTATTTCTTTTCACTCATTTAGAAGAAATGCATTCTGGCTTTGAGACACCATCTAGAAAACCTCTGGTCTCACTAAGCATGTGGGAACTGGCTGGACTGCACTTACTGGGCCTGTCAGAATTAAAAGAGCAATTAAGCACTGCTCATTGAGAGAAAAGAGCGTGAAATAATGCTGGGATCTCCATGAAGGCAGCTTGAATCTTCCCATTACTTTTTTGAAGTATGTAAGAATCACTGAGGAAACTTGACGAGCTTCAGGTAAAGGCTTTCTATGAGCTAACAAAGAAATGTAGGACAGGCATTTCCCAGATCGATCACATTCTCTGCAGTGTAGCTTACTGTAATTGCAGTGACAGAGCTGAGTCTGAGCTATGTGGAATAATACAGCAGTTGAAATGTCACCACAGGAGCATTAATGAATGGGCAGGTAAGCAGCCAAACGTTCATTTCTTTCGCTGTGTTAATAGCCTTGAAATACCACGAGTTATTTGTTTGGTGCAACAAAAGCTCAAAGAAAATATACATCACAGATTGACAGACAAACAAATAAAGAAAATACATGAAAAATATCACCTATCTTGTTAGAATTTGTAACCTGGACCAAGTGTTAGAAGTCGACTTTTCAGAAAGACAAAAAAAAAAAAAAAAAAAAAGGAAAAGCTCATTGTGCTTCCTTCAACTTTGCCATGGCTAAGTGGCTTGGGAGGCAACCTGCCTGTTCCAGACACTTTCCTCCATGCTGAACAGACAAGAAGGCAGCCTGTGCCAAGCAGCAAAAGGAGGAGAAAAAAAAAAGAAAAAAAAAAAAAGCTGTAGGTCCCAGAGACTCCACCATCATATGGAGCAGAAATCAGAGCCCAGAGAAGCACCAAAGCCGTGCCCTACCAGTCTCACCTGGCGTCTCACTGTGCCGTGGTACAAGCAGCAGTGCAAGTGCAACCAATGGCTGCTTGCATTTCCACTGAATTCACCTGATGGAACACAAAGCGGAATTAGCACTTCCTGAGAGATTAAGGGTCAGATGTTTTGTCACCTGCTAAACTGGACAACATTACTTAGAAAGGAACAGGCAATAAAAGTCTCTCTCTCCATACAGCCATACTGCTCTTTTCTGTGCCTGCTCACGCTCAGTGCTGTCAAGGCTCTTACTTCTGGTGGGCCAGTACACAGAAAATCGTATCTTATTTGCAGAACTGAGGCCGGGCTACTTGACTTCCCATGGCAGATTTGACACAAAGTCTTGTCACTCAGCAACACAAAGAGTGGCTTTAACCTTGATTAATTCATTCTTTGCCCTGTTGCTATTAATTCCAAGGACTTAAGAACATCTGGAAGTATAAAGAGTTGCTAGGGAGCTGGAAAGCACCTGTGGAAGCGTCAGCCAGTTGGCCAAGTGGTAACAGAGGACAGAACCAGCAGGGTTCAGGCCCACTAAAGAGGTCCCTGAGTTTCTTGTCTATGAAACACCCCAGGAAATAAATAAAAAAGCCACTTGAGCTGTTTCCCCTAGCAGGGCAGCAGCACTTGCCTGAGCCACCATTCTAAGTTAATATGACATTAATCAGTAAACGGCAGATGTGTTCCAGCATGACTGAGACACTCCCAAGTTGGGCACTTGAGCATAATGAATGCAGAGGCAGCAGCAAAAAACAAAACTGTAGGCTCTGCTACAACAAGAGAGGCCTTAAGGAAAGCAAAGGCACTAACAGTCACTGCTGTAGACACTTCCTTCTAAAGCAAAGAAGAGGAGAGATCTCAGATCTCAAAGAAACACAGTTTCACTCCTTCCAGAAAAAGAGAGGAACAACACCCTAGCCTTGAAGCCACCATTCCCATCCAAGTGTAAAGAGCACAATCAACAAACACACAAATATCAGAGCAGCATGGAGAGGCTGGCACTTCACAGGCTGTATAACTAGAAGGATTACCATGGTGGAAACAGATAATAAGAATAATAATTAAAAAAAAAAAAAGGAAAACTCAACCATGTCCATGGCTTACAAAAAAAAATGCCAAAGGGAGCAATCTCCAGAAAGAGATCCCTCCCCAGGGGCTGCCTGCCTTAAATGGGGTCTAGGTGAGGTGCAGCCAGGCTCCAACCCTTCCAGTCACACAGCTGAACTGCCTTCACCTGTGCTCCCAGGGCTGACTCAGTGCTCGCCTCAGGTGGTCAATCAGAGGTTCCGGCTGTGATACAGCAGGTCCCATACACCAAGAAATGGATTGAGCTGGAGCTGGAGCTGGATTAAGTAGTAAACATTGAGAATGGGTATCCAAGTAACTGAAATTAAGTTGTCAAAACCTAGGCATGAGGTCTGCACTGGACTTACCTGATTTCTTCAAACGTAACTTGTTCACTGCAGGAACCTCGGTTCCCTACTGCCGTTTGGCCTTCACTTCTCCATGACAGTGCATACTCAGATACCTGAGATTAACAAATACAAAGACCCTGCATTAGAGGGTGGAGGCTTCCACCTTTTTCAGTGTTGGGCCTATCAAACAACTTTGCATGAGACAGCTTTCCTAAATTCCCTACTGATGTCATCTCAAAGCTCAGGTTATTTCAGCCTTAATAAAGGCTCTGCGTATTAAGACAGAAATCACTGACTATCAGCAAATGCTTATCTCCAGATTTGGTATCCGTTGCTTTGTTTCCTGGACGTGATACCAATATCTCCACCTCCCATGTTAGTTAAGCACATGCATTCATCTTGTATTAACTATTAAAAAATAATGGCTGCATGCACAGCTTTGAGCCAAGCCGAAGTGGTTTCCATCAGAAGGCTTCTCAAGCTCTAATCTTTTGGGACTGTAATTTAAACTCACTGATTTCCTGCAAATTCTGAAAGACAAAAAGAGAGAGTTGCTTCTGAGCCTCTTCCAGCAGGCCTGAACTTCAAGGCCTGAACACAATCACTTACAGAAAATTTGGAACAGATTTAATGGAGGAGGTACAGTCTGAGCAGGACATCTGTGGTTGTAGCATGGGAGACATTCAGTAGCACAAATGAGTAGAACTGACGAACCTCCTGTGTGGCAGAATTTGTGTCGTGCACCTGGTTCCAATCAGCTGCACAGGGCCTTTCTGAGGTTTTATATTGTCACTTGGTGAACTTGCACATCATCATTTCTCTTGAACGTATGCACAGTTGGCAAAGCACGCACACTTGTCAACTTAGTGTCCCAGTTCCTGACTTGCTGCCTGGCTTGGGGAAGGGCCTCTTCTCATTTCATGTTGACTATAATTTGAAGCTAATCTCTATTCAAGGATGATCATCAACAGGAACAACAACACAGTGGCTTACTGCTAGAGTCACTGCACAAGCCACACCAAGGCTGATACTACATTAACTTCCTTGCACTTTCCAAGATCAAGCCAGGTGGAATGTGCTACACATTCCAATTGACTGAAGAGCAGAACTCACGTCACTGGCTTGGTCAACTGGCTGAATCAACTGAGTTGTGTTTTGGGTCCTGTGAGTTCAAACACAAATATTTAATCAAATTTTTTGTGCTGACTGGTCAAATGGCATTTCTGCAATCACCTGAAAGATAACAACAAGGTCTTTTTCTTATCTTGAGCCCTACCAGCATAGCATGTTACAAGTATGCATGTTTTGTAAATCATTGAATGCTGAATTTTTCATGGATCTTAATACACGCGGTCATGGCAAAATCTTTGTCTTGTAAGGCAGACACTGACACTGTGCATTTTGGAGTGAGACCTTGTGTTGCTCCTGGCTGTCAGTCGGCAGCAAGTTGTATTCTTGCTGTACATTGGTCAGCAAGAGGAGAGAATCACACTGCGCCTGTACATACAGTTATCACTGCACTTTTGTTTCCATTTTCCTCTTCTGTCTCAGGGAATAGTTTTGATCTCAGCCCCAAACTCCTATTCTTTCCAGTTCCCTCCCTCATCCCACCCGGGGGGAAGAAGCAAACATTTGTGTGGTGTTCAGCTGCCTGATGGGTTAAACCACAACAGGTTATTTTCGTTTTTTGGTACTCTTGGAGCACTTAGGTGGTGTAGAGGCCCACTTAATATCCAGTTTCCTCTTCTATGTGCTTGATCTGCCAGAAGGCAGAAGAATGCCTTCCAGAGGTGCTGGCGCACTTGCAGGTTTGCCTCCGGTACAGTCTCTTGCTTTTCTGTGTCCTTGCATAGAGGCTGCCCCAAAAGTAGTTGGAGCAGGGGCTGCTGCTGCAGCACACTCGTGACGCACGTCTCTTTCCTCACTAAAGCATATCAAACACACAGTCTTGTCTCAGAATTTGTATCCCAGAAACTAGATCTGGATACTATGTTACATGTGAGGAAGAGTAGTCAGAAGTGTAGTACATCACCTATGCTTTTGTGTTCTATTAAATAACTACTACTAATAAAACCATTCAGTCTGTTACACCCTGATCAGAATGACATTAACTTTCATGGATCTTCACACCTTCTCTGGATATTCAGAAAGTTTCTTGAAACATCACACGTCGAAGGAGAGCACAGGCTGCCACAGGGCTCTGTGCTTTGTGGATAACTTTTCAAATCTTCCAGCAATTGCTATGGATACTGTGGACTGTATAAAAGAGATTGGGAAAAATGCAGTTTTTTTCCCAAGAAATCTGCATGCATGACCTCAGACCAATGTTCTCACTCCGTTCAAGAAGTGAAGGTGAAATACCTATAAAACACTTGTGAAGATGCCCCTATTTCATCCACAGCTCCCTCCACTCCACACACATGTTGGAGAAGCAGCCAGAAATCACCCTAGGCATAAGGACAACAGCAAGCATGCATTCAGCAGATGAGCTCTAGTATTTCTGCATTTTGAGATCATTTGGCAGCATTAGACAGTTATTGGTACCACATGGATGATTACCCAAAGGAACACAAGCTGTATGTGTAAAAAAAAGTCAGAGTTAACAATGAGTTCATCCCTAGTTTGCTCATTCTAATCTTGAGCAGATTAATAAGTAATCTGCTGCCTCAGCAGGAACAGGGAGGTGATATTGGCTGATTTAATCTACGTGTTTTTCTTCTACAGCTTATAAATAACCTCCGGTTTGCAGGTCCCAGGTCAAACTCTTCAGCACTTGACATCCCTTCCTCAGCACACCATGGAGTTCTTGGGATGGCCAACAATCCTCTTGCTGGCCTGCATCTCATGCCTTCTCATTGCTGCATGGAGAAGTTCATCACAAACAGGGAAGGAGCCTCCTGGTCCCACACCAATCCCCATAATTGGAAATGTTTTTCAGCTGAACCCAAGGGACTTGATGGAAAGCTTCAAGGAGGTAAGAATGTCTCTTTCTTTCCTGCATTGCCTTTGGGACAAAGCCCAGCCCACACAGTCTCAGCTTAATTCATGTTTGCTTTTGATGTATTACGCTGCCAATTGCAGTAACCATACTGGTGTTGACACTGCATTGGCCTCACACCAGTACTGCAGTATACCGTAGATTTCTAGACAAGGTCCTGATGCATTCACCATATCCACCACAATCCCTTTGTGCAAATCACTTCACTGCCCTGGCAAAAGAGCACAGCCCTGATTTATGGAGGACCTTTGCTCTATTTTCTTGCCTCAGTCCCCAGCAATTAGGTATAATCTCATGGGAGGGGAATTTGTGAGTGCAAGGACCAAACAAAGGAGTTTGAAGGCGAATGGCACCACCTGTTCCCTCCCATGGATATTGTCATGCATCTGTCAAAAAAAAACAAACGCCTGTGCTGCAGTGCCTGTAAGAGAATAGGTGGAGTGAGTTTGGCTGTGGAGCCTGATCCTGAGGGTACTGTGATGGGATGGTGGTAGATGGATGGGAAAGGGCTGAGGAATGAATTGCTTTCCAGAGATCTTATTCACCAGGTGAAGACCTGCAAACTTAATTTCCCATGATTAACATGCACAAATAGACTGTGTTCCTTGTGTTCTTCCTTCCTACAGCTCAGCAAAAAGTACGGCCCTATCTTCACAATACATCTAGGCCTCAAAAAGGTTGTGGTGCTCTATGGCTACGATGTCGTGAAAGAAGCCCTAATTGATAACGGAGACGCCTTCAGTGGGAGAGGAACACTGCCTATGCTTGAAAAACTCTTCAAAGGCCTAGGTACTTCCCTGGAAATATTGCCATACAGAACTGATCATGTCCTTGGTACAGGAATGCACCTGTAAGGGCAGTGGAGGAGCGAGTGGTGGACTTCAAGTACTACATTTACACATAAAAATGAGGAATAAAGTATTAAAAGCCCAACTCAGTCCTTGGACCTAGCAGTAGGTGGAGAACTGTTTAAGGTCCTAGGCTGGCTCCAGGGAGTTCCTTTCTATTTTCAGCACCTTCAAATTCTGGCTAAAATTTGGTTGACAAAAGGTGCCGCTAAGATATTGCTGTTATTCTTCCATTTCTGAAAATACTGCCCAAGGCCCTACAGCACAGGTGCCATCAAATGGAAATTCCAGAGTACAACACTGACAAGCAAATAAAGGCTGTCCTGGTTAAGGGTCATACTCAACATGAGGCCCTGGGCTCATTCAACACAACAGTTCCCACTAGACTGTTTATCCAGGCAAATGGTTATTCCATGCTATTATTTTTTACTTCCTCAATGTATTCGGTGATGATACAATGCATAAAGCATTTGGGAATTCATCTTAGCCATCTGCTTGTGGCCAAGTTGACTTTAGTACCAGTGGTGCCTTTTTATTGACATGCCAGTGTCATTTCTCTTATTCTGGAAATAAACAATGGTGCCTTGGTCAGATTGATCAATTTGTCACCTCCAGAACTGCAGGAATGTTAGGATTTGGGGCATACAGCAATTATTGTAGATACTTATTCCAGAAAATGGTGTGGGGGGCAGAAAGCTTACTTCCTCATGGAGGTTTGCTGTTTTTTCTTGTAACAGGCATTGTGACCAGCAATGGGGAGACCTGGAGACAACTGCGAAGATTTGCCCTCACCACCCTGCGTGATTTTGGAATGGGGAAGAAGGGCATTGAGGAGCGAATCCAGGAGGAAGCTCGTTTTCTGGTGGAGAGGATCAGGAACACACATGGTAGGACACTGACGTGCATCTGCTGGGAAACCTTGCAGACCTGCAATGAGACTGTAACAAAATTCAGTCTGGATTCACAGATAAAAATCCCTGCTGAGAATCTGAGAAAACATGCTCTTTTCATCTCACTGATTCTGCACTGTATGTGCCTCACTGTACAGCCAACAAGGAGTCATGGGCAAGGCACAGAAGGGCTGGCTCCAGAGCTGCATGGAAGAGGCTGATCCATAACATTTCCATTAACTGTTCTCTCTTTTTTCCCTTCAGGATTTTATACCTTCCAATCTTGATGATTCTTATCTTCCATACTTGAGATATACCTTACTGCAGTCTCCAGGTTCAACTTTCCTGTCTGTCATGGATCTAATCTCACTTTTCCTCACGCTTCCATCATAGTTATTTCCTTAGAATATTCTGTAGCCATGCTGTCAAAACTCTACTTTTGATCACAGGTATCTGAAGTTTCTTTGGGTTTTCATGGTATTCTTCTGGCAGTCTCTAATAAACAGTCTGTCCTGCTGCAAGACCTTTGTCAGATGAAGGGGAAACAAGTCACTCAGACTTGCTGTAGAAAGAACGGGGCAAAACAGGGACTGAAAGAATTGAGGCAGGAAAATCAGTTATGTACAAGTAGAGAATATCCAATTGGATAAACCTCTCACTATCTTCTTAAAGGACAGCACAAATCTGGGTCTCAACAGAATGCAAAACTTCCTTGGAGTTATAAGGGGAGATGATGACTAAAGTACTGAAAGCAAGTTACCTTTCTGTTGTTGCTGTTGCAGAGAAACCTTTCAACCCTGGTAAATTCTTAATCCATGCTGTTTCCAACATCATCTGCTCCATTGTATTTGGGGATCGGTTTGACTATGAGGACAAGAAGTTTCTCAATTTAATTGAAATGCTGGAAGAAAACAACAAGTACCAGAGCAAAATACAAACACAGGTTTGTGCAATTTCATTTCATTAATACATGAATTAATGGCTTAGGTTATTAGTGTTATATTCATTTGTGTTACTCATTTATCATTGGCATGCTATTTCATTTTATGGAAATCTCATTGCACTTCCAGAGCAGAACAGAACTGCTAAAGCAGTTCAAGTAACTTCGCTCCTTGAGTATAGTGAAACCATGATGCAGAAGAGTCTACTGCTTCTCATAGTGACAGTTAGGGGAAAAAATGACTGCAAGCACTTCAACCAAAATACACATTTCCTCCTTTTATCATTGCAGCTCTACAACTTCTTCCCAACCATCTTAGATTTTTTACCTGGGCCTCATCAAAAAGTAATAAAAAACATTGATAATGTTGATGACTTCATAATTGAAATCGTAAAAGCACACCAGGAATCTTTTGATCCCAGCTGCCCTCGAGATTTTATTGATGCTTTTATCAACAAAATGCAACAGGTAATGTAAGAGTGAGCAAGTGAGAGCTCTTTGGATGATGGGAAAACCACCATTTGAATCCTTGCATTGCCTCCCAGTTGTAGCAGCACACTGGCCCTTGGCAAATACAGAGGGAAATTTTCTTTTCTTGGCACCTTCATTCTCTCCCCTCCATTTCCCTTTGAAAGATTTGTAAGCACAGTGCTAACAGTGGGAACACACTTCCCATGTTATCTCAAGTGTCATATAAGAACTGTTATCCTGATGTACTGGGCAGGGTTGTATTTTTGAAAAGACATCAGGTGAGTCTAAAAGCATACGGCATAGGCACAAGGCATCCTTTGTAGAAAAGCTTCTTACTGTTTTCACTCAAAGAATCCTGCCAAATTTCCCTCCAGGAGAAAGGGAACTCTATTTTCACTGTTGAGTCCTTGACCAGGACCACACTTGACTTGTTCCTTGCGGGAACTGGGACAACCAGCACCACACTGAGATTCGGACTCCTGATTCTCCAGAAATACCCAGAGATTGAAGGTAAGAGGAAAGGGAATATTTACTTGAAGATATATCATAGGCCATGGGTTCAAAGCAGACAGTTTGTGTCACTACCACTGGTGGCAACAGTCCCTAATAGCAGAAATGTCCATCAGTCCTAGCTTTACTTCCAGCAGAGAGCCATCAGTACCAAGTATGTTCCTGTGCTCTTGGGAGGGGGAAAAGCAAGCCTTGCTGCAACTGTGAGGAAAGGCTTTGGGAAACATCCATTCAATTTACTTATTCCCCAACAGAGAAAATTCACAAGGAGATTGACCGTGTGGTGGGCCGAGACCGAAGCCCCTGCATGGCAGACAGGAGCCAGATGCCATACACAGATGCTGTGGTCCATGAAATCCAGAGATTCATTGATTTCCTTCCCCTCAACGTTCCACATGCTGTGACCAAGGACACCAAGCTCAGAGACTATTTCATACCCAAGGTCTGTTGCTGGGAACATCCATAATCCCCTGCTGTGCTATATTAATTATGCTTTACTTAAATTACATACACACTGGAGAGCAATACGGAATCAGCAGTATTTGATTTCTGAGAGGGAGCTGTTCTTCTCTGGTGATGCTATGCACTGAGTTGTACAATGTTGTAGCCTTCCTTTCATGAACCAGTCTGTGCCTACTATTTGTTTCCAATACAAACAGTTATTACTCTATGAACTGCAACTATGAGGACAGGTAGCTAGCTGGCTGCCAGATATGAATGGCTGCTGTGAAAAAAAGCTTCCTACATGTCCCCAGCACTTCACCACTGGCACTTTTTGCATTTGCACCAGCTTTTCTCATGGGATTTCAACACTTAATTCTGGCAGACAGTGAAGCTTACAGGGATCACACAGCAGTCACCAAAGCAGGGCTTTTCATGTATTCAGCCCTGGGGACTGATCGATGGGGCTTCACTTTGGCATGTCTCCACTTAACTTTCTCCTCTCTATGCTTATTCAGGACACCATGATATTCCCTTTGCTGTCTCCCATCCTGCAAGACTCCAAGGAATTTCCTAATCCAGAAAAATTTGACCCGGAACATTTCCTGAATGCAGATGGTACCTTCAGAAAGAGTGACTACTTCTTGCCATTTTCCACAGGTAAAGAGCTCTTTCTATGTCAGGACCTAGACTATCCTCTCCCAGAACCTCTTCAGACACTTCAGTGGCTCTGTCATCCCTGTCTGAACAGTGATGTCTGCAGATCTGCTGCTCACTTCTGGGCAGCTAAGCTCTACCCCATATACTACAGTTTCAGTTTACCTCCTTTTCTTAACAAGTACCAGAGCACCTCTGATGCATCCTCCAAGAAAAGATGCATGAAGTGGGACTTGTAGCCATGCCACTTCTCTCTCCTAGCTAGCCATAAAGCAGCAACACAACACGAGAAACTGAAACCTTCAAATTGCATTGGCCCACCCAGTACTCTCACACTGTTCTGAACACTGAGACCTCAGTTTAATTCACTTCACTTCCCCAGAAGGATGCAGTGCTGCATGCCCACTCTGAGACGTCGGAACTCTCACGGCAGAGGGGTTAAAATAAGTTACCAGCAAAAGTACTCTACCATCATCTCCTGTTCTCCTCATTCTTTCCTTGCAGGAAAACGCATCTGTGCAGGAGAAGGTCTGGCCCGGATGGAGATATTCTTATTTTTAACATCCATCCTGCAGAACTTTACTCTGAAGCCCGTTGTAGATCGCAAGGATGTTGACATTTCTCCCATAGTCACCACTCTGGCAAATATGCCCCGACCTTACGAGATCTCATTTATTCCACGTTAGACAAGTGAAGACAGTTGTCAAGCCACCTCCAACATCAGAACTCTTCTTGGACAACAGTCATTGCCCACCCTGATGTGATTGAGACAATCAGATAACTTCCTAAATTCTTTACAGACACAAGATTTATGCTTTTCTATGTGATCATGGAAGGACATGCTGCAGCAGAAAACAATCCTCCACAAAGCTTAGACTCCCACACGCTGTCCAAAATAGGTACATACCTTGACTATTTCTTTTCACTCATTTAGAAGAAATGCATTCTGGCTTTAAGACACCATCTAGAAAACCTCTGGTCTCACTAAGCATGTGGGAACTGGCTGGACTGCACTTACTGGGCCTGTCAGAATTAAAGAGCAATTAAGCACTGCTCATTGAAAGAAAAGAGCATGAAATAATGCTGGGATCTCCATGAATGCAGCTTGAATCTTCCCATTACTTTTTTGAAGTATGTAAGAATCAGTGAGGAAACTTGACGAGCTTCAGGTAAAGGCTTTCTATGAGCTAACAAAGAAATGTAGGACTGGCATTTCCCAGATCGATTACATTCTCTGCAGTGTAGCTTACTGTAATTGCAGTGACAGAGCTGAGTCTGAGCTATGTGGAATAATACAGCAGTTGAAATGTCACCACAGGAGCATTAATGAATGGGCAGGTAAGCATCCAAATAACCTGGACCAAGTGTTAGAAGTCGACTTTTCAGAAAGACAAAAAAAAAAAAAAAAAAAAAAAGGAAAAGCTCATTGTGCTTCCTACAACTTTGCCATGGCTAAGTGGCTTGGGAGGCAACCTGCCTGTTCCAGACATTTTCCTCCATGCTGAACAGACAAGAATGCAGCCTGTGCCAAGCAGCAAAAGGAGAAGAAAAAAAAAAAAAGAAAAAAAAAAAAAACAGAAAAGAAGCTGTAGCTCCCAAAGACTCCACCATCATACAGAGAAGCACCAAAGCCGTGCCCTACCAGTCTCACCTGGCGTCTCACTGTGCCGTGGTACAAGCAGCAGTGCAAGTGCAACCAATGGCTGCTTGCATTTCCACTGAATTCACCTGATGGAACACAAAGCGGAATTAGCACTTCCTGAGAGATTAAGGGTCAGATGTTTTGTCACCTGCTAAACTGGACAACATTACTTAGAAAGGAACAGGCAATAAAAGTCTCTCTCTCCATACAGCCATACTGCTCTTTTCTGTGCCTGCTCACACTCAGTGCTGTCAAGGCTCTTACTTCTGGTGGGCCAGTACACAGAAAATCGTATCTTATTTGCAGAACTGAGGCCGGGCTACTTGACTTCCCATGGCAGATTTGACACAAAGTCTTGTCACTCAGCAACAAAAAGAGTGGCTTTAACCTTGATTAATTCATTCTTTGCCCTGTTGCTATTAATTCCAAGGACTTAAGAACGTCTGGAAGTATAAAGAGTTGCTAGGGAGCTGGAAAGCACCTGTGGAAGCATCAGCCAGTTGGCCAAGTGGTAACAGAGGACAGAACCAGCAGGGTTCAGGCCCACTAAAGAGGTCCTCGAGTTTCTTGTCTATGAAACACCCCAGGAAATAAATAAAAAAGCCACTTGAGCTGTTTCCCCTAGCAGGGCAGCAGCACTTGCCTGAGCCACCATTCTAAGTTAATATGACATTAATCACTAAACGGCAGATGTGTTCCAGCATGACTGAGACACTCCCAAGTTGGGCACTTGAGCATAATGAATGCAGAGGCAGCAGCAAAAAACAAAACTGTAGGCTCTGCTACAACAAGAGAGGCCTTAAGGAAAGCAAAGGCACTAACAGTCACTGCTGTAGACACTTCCTTCTAAGGCGAGGAAGAGGAGAGATCTGAGATCTGAAAGAAACACAGTTTAACTCCTTCCAGAAAAAGAGAGGAACAACACCCTAGCCTTGAAGCCACCATTCCCATCCAAGTGTAAAGAGCACAATCAACAAACACACAAATAGCAGAGCAGCATGGAGAGGCCGGTACTTCACAGGCTGTATAACTAGAAGGATTACCATGGTGGAAACAGATAATAAGAATAATAATTAAAAAAAAAAAAAAAAAACAGGAAAACTCAGCCACGTCCATGGCTTACAAAAAAAAATACCAAAGGGAGTAATCTCCAGAAAGAGATCCCTCCCCAGGGGCTGTCGGCCTTAAATGGGGTCTAGGTGAGGTGCAGCCAGGCTCCAACCCTTCCAGTCACACAGCTGAACTGCCTTCACCTGTGCTCCCAGGGCTGACTCAGTGCTCGCCTCAGGTGGTCAATCAGAGGTTCCGGCTGTGATTCAGCAGGTCCCATACACCAAGAAATGGATTGAGCTGGAGCTGGAGCTGGATTAAGTAGTAAGCATTGAGAATGGGTATCCAAGTAGCTGAAATTAAGTTGTCAAAACCTAGGCATGAGGTCTGCACTGGACTTACCTGATTTCTTCAAACGTAACTTGTTCACTGCAGGAACCTCGGTTCCCTACTGCCGTTTGGCCTTCACTTCTCCATGACAGTGCATACTCAGATACCTGAGATTAACAAACACAAAGACCCTGCAATACAGGGTGGAGGCTTCCACCTTTTTCAGTGTTGGGCCTATCAAACAACTGTGCTTAGAGACATCTTTCCTAAATTCCCTACTGATGTCATCTCAAAGCTCAGGTTATTTCAGCCTTAATAAAGGCTCTGCGTATTAAGACAGAAATCACTGACTGTCAGCAAATGCTTATCACCAGATTTGGTATCCGTTGCTTTGTTTCCTGGACATGATACCAATATCTCCACCTCCCATGTTAGTTAAGCACATGCATTCATCTTGTATTAACTATTAAAAAATAATGGCTGCATGCACAGCTTTGAGCCAAGCCGAAGTGGTTTCCATCAGAAGGCTTCTCAAGCTCTAATCTTTTGGGACTGTAATTTAAACTCACTGATTTCCTGCAAATTCTGAAAGACAAAAAGAGAGAGTTGCTTCTGAGCCTCTTCCAGCAGGCCTGAACTTCAAGGCCTGAACACAATCACTTACAGAAAATTTGGAGCAGATTTAATGGAGGAGGTACAGTCTGAGCGGGACATCTGTGGTTGTAGCACCGGAGACATTCAGTGGAACAAATGAGTAGAACTGATGAACCTCCTGTGTGGCAGAATTTGTGTCGTGCACCTGGTTCCAATCAGCTGCACAGGGCCTTTCTGAGGTTTTATATTGTCACTTGGTGAACTTGCACATCATCATTTCTCTTGAACGTATGCACAGTTGGCAAAGCACGCACACTTGTCAACTTAGTGTCCCAGTTCCTGACTTGCTGCCTGGCTTGGGGAAGGGCCTCTTCTCATTTCTTGCTGACTATACTTTGAAGCTAGTCTCTATTCAAAGATGATCATCAACAGGAACAACAACACAGTGGCTTACTGCTAGAGTCACTGCACAAGCCACACCAAGGCTGGTACTACATTAACTTCCTTGCACTTTCCAAGATCAAGCCGGAGTGTAACAGTGTGCTACACATTCCAATTGACTGAAGAGCAGAACTCACGTCACTGGCTTGGTCCTGAGTCAACTGAGTTGTGTTTTGGGTCCTGTGAGTTCAAACACAAATATTTAATCAAATCTTTTGTGCTGGCTGGTCAAATGGCATTTCTGCAATCACCTGAAAGATAACAACAAGGTCTTTATCTTATCTTGAGCCCTACCAGCATAGCATGTTACAAGTATGCATGTTTTGTAAATCATTGAATGCTGAATTTTTCATGGATCTTAATACACGCGGTCATGGCAAAGTCTTTGTCTTGTAAGGCAGACACTGACACTGTGCATTTTGGAGTGAGACCTTGTGTTGCTCCTGGCTGTCAGTCGGCAGCAAGTTGTATTCTTGCTGTACATTGGTCAGCAAGAGGAGAGAATCACACTGCGCCTGTACATACAGTTATCACTGCACTTTTGTTTCCATTTTCCTCTTCTGTCTCAGGGAATAGTTTTGATCTCAGCCCACAACTCCTATTCTTTCCAGTTCCCTCCCTCATCCCACCCGGGGGGAAGAAGCAAACATTTGTGTGGTGTTCAGCTGCCTGATGGGTTAAACCACAACAGGTTATTTTCGTTTTTTGGTACTCTTGGAGCACTTAGGTGGTGTAGAGGCCCACTTAATATCCAGTTTCCTCTTCTATGTGCTTGATCTGCCAGAAGGCAGAAGAATGCCTTCCAGAGGTGCTGGCGCACTTGCAGGTTTGCCTCTAGTACAGTCTCTTGCTTTTCTGTGTCCTTGCATAGAGGCTGCCCCAAAAGTAGTTGGAGCAGGGGCTGCTGCTGCAGCACACTCGTGACGCACGTCTCTTTCCTCACTAAAGCATATCAAACACACAGTCTTGTCTCAGAATTTGTATCCCAGAAACTAGATCTGGATACTAGGTTATGTGTGAGGAAGAGTAGTCAGAAGTGTAGTACATCACGTATACTTTTGTGTTCTATTAAATAACTACTACTAATAAAACCATTCATTCCGTTACACCCTGATCAGAAGACATTAACTTTCATGGATCTTCACACCTTCTCTGGATATTCGGAACGTTTCTTGAAACATCACACGTCGAAGGAGAGCACAGGCTGCCACAGGGCTCTGTGCTTTGTGGATAACTTTTCAAATCTTCCAGCAATTGCTATGGATACTGTGGACTGTATAAAAGAGATTAGGAAAAATGCAGTTTTTTTCCCTGGAAATCTGCATGCGTGACCTCAGACCAATGTTCTCACTCCGTTTGAGAAGTGAAGGTGAAATACCTATAAAACACTTGTGAAGATGCCCCTATTTCATCCACAGCTCCCTCCACTCCGCACACATGTTGGAGAAGCAGCCAGAAATCACCCTAGGCATAAGGACAACAGCAAGCATGCATTCAGCAGATGAGCTCTAGTATTTCTGCATTTTGAGATCATTTGGCAGCATTAGACTGTTATTGGTACCACATGGATGATTAACAAAAGGAACACTTTTGTTCCTTTTGTACACAGAAGCTGTATGTGTAAAAAAAAGTCAGAGTTAACAATGACTTCATTCCTAGTTTGCTCATTCTAATCATGAGCAGATTAATAAGTAATCTGCTGCCTCAGCAGGAACAGGGAGGTGATATTGGCTGATTTAATCCACGTGTTTTTCTTCTACAGCTTATAAATAACCTCCGGTTTGCAGGTCCCAGGTCAAACTCATCTGACAATTTGCATCCCTTCCTCAGCCCGCCTTGGAGTTCTTGGGATGGCCAACAATCCTCTTGCTGGCCTGCATCTCATGCCTTCTCATTGCTGCATGGAGAAGTTCATCACAAAGAGGGAAGGAGCCTCCTGGTCCCACACCAATCCCCATAATTGGAAATGTTTTTCAGCTAAACCCAAGGGACTTGATGGAAAGCTTCAAGGAGGTAAGAACGTCTCTTTCTTTCCTGCATTGCCTCTAGGACAAAGCCCAGTCCACACAGTCTCAGCTTAATTCATGTTTGCTTTTGATGTATTACGCTGCCAATTGCAGTAACCATACTGGTGTTGAGACTGCATTGGCCTCACACCAGTACTGCAGTATACCGTAGATTTCTAGACAAGGTCCTGATGCATTCACCATATCCACCACAATCCCTTTGTGCAAATCTCTTCACTGCCCTGGCAAAAGAGCACAGCCCTGATTTATGGAGGACCATTGCTCTATTTTCTTGCCTCAGCCCCCCGGCAATTAGGTACAATCTCATGGGAGGGGAATTTGTGAGTGCAAGGACCAAACAAAGGAGTTTGAAGGCGAATGGCACCACCTGTTCCCTCCTATGGATACTGTCATACATCTGTTAAAAAAAAAACAAACGCCTGTGCTGCAGTGCCTGTAAGAGAATAGGTGGAGTGAGTTTGGCTGTGGAGCCTGATCCTGAGGGTACTGTGATGGGATGGTGGTGGATGGATGGGAAAGGGCTGAGGAATGAATTGCTTTCCAGAGATCTTATTCACCAGGTGAAGACCTGCAAACTTAATTTCCCATGATTAACATGCACAAATAGACTGTGTTCCTTGTGTTCTTCCTTCCTACAGCTCAGCAAAAAGTACGGCCCTATCTTCACAATACACCTAGGCCTCTAAAAGGTTGTGGTGCTCTATGGCTACGATGTTGTGAAAGAAGCCCTAATTGATAACGGAGACGCCTTCAGTGGGAGAGGAGTACTGCCTATGCTTGAAAAACTCTTCAAAGGCCTAGGTACTTCCCTGGAAATATTGCCATACAGAACTGATCATGTCCTTGGTACAGGAATGCACCTGTAAGGGCAGTGGAGGAGCGATTGGTGGACTTCAAGTACTACATTTACACATAAAAATGAGGAATAAAGTATTAAAAGCCCAACTTAGTCCTTGGACCTAGCAGTAGGTGGAGAACTGTTTAAGGTCCTAGGCTGGCTCCAGGGAGTTCCTTTCTATTTTCAGCACCTTCAAATTCTGGCTAAAATTTGGTTGACAAAAGGTGCCGCTAAGATATTGCTGTTATTCTTCCATTTCTGAAAATACTGCCCAAGGCCCTACAGCACAGGTGCCATCAAATGGAAATTCCAGAGTACAACACTGACAAGCAAATAAAGGCTGTCCTGGTTAAGGGTCATACTCAACATGAGGCCCTGGGCTCATTCAACACAACAGTTCCCACTAGACTGTTTATCCAGGCAAATGGTTATTCCATGCTATTATTTTTTACTTCCTCAATGTATTCGGTGATGATACAATGCATAAAGCATTTGGGAATTCATCTTAGCCATCTGCTTGTGGCCAAGTTGACTTTAGTACCAGTGCTGCCTTTTTATTGACAGCCCAGTGTCATTTCTCCTATTCTGGAAATAAACAATGGTGCCTTGGTCAGATTGGTCAATTTGTCACCTCCAGAACTGCAGGAATGTTAGGATTTGGGGCATACAGCAATTGTGGTAGGTATTTATTCCAGAAAATGGTGTGGGGGGCAGAAAGCTTACTTCCTCATGGAGGTTTGCTGTTTTTTCTTGTAACAGGCATTGTGACCAGCAATGGGGAGACCTGGAGACAACTGCGAAGATTCGCCCTCACCACCCTGCGTGATTTTGGAATGGGGAAGAAGGGCATTGAGGAGCGAATCCAGGAGGAAGCTCGTTTTCTGGTGGAGAGGATCAGGAACACACATGGTAGGACACTGACGTGCATCTGCTGGGAAACCTTGCAGACCTGCAATGAGACTGTAACAAAATTCAGTCTGGATTCACAGATAAAAATCCCTGCTGAGAATCTGAGAAAACATGCTCTTTTCATCTCACTGATTCTGCACTGTATGTGCCTCACTGTACAGCCAACAAGGAGTCATGGGCAAGGCACAGAAGGGCTGGCTCCAGAGCTGCATGGAAGAGGCTGATCCATAACATTACCATTAACTGGTGTCGCTTTTTTTCCCTTCAGGATTTCATACCTTCCCATCTTGATGATTCTTATCTTCCATACTTGAGATATACCTTACTGCAGTCTCCAGGTTCAACTTTCCTGTCTGTCATGGATCTAATCTCACTTTTCCTCACGCTTCCATCATAGTTATTTCCTTAGAATATTCTGTAGCCATGCTGTCAAAACTCTACTTTTGATCACAGGTATCTGAAGTTTCTTTGGCAGGCAGTCTCTAATAAACAGTCTGTCCTGCTGCAAGACCTGTGTCAGATGAAGGGGAAACAAATCACTCAGACTTGCTGTAGAAAGAACAGGGCAAAACAGGGACTGAAAGATTACAGACAGGAAAATCAGTTATTTACAAGCAGAGAATATCCAATTGGATAAATCTCTCATTATCTTCTTTAAAGACTGCAGAAATCTGGGACTCAAGTGAATGCAAAACTTCCTTGGAGCTATAAGGGGAGGACATGATGACTGAAGTACTGAAAGCAAGTTACCTTTCTGTTGTTGCTGTTGCAGAGAAACCTTTCAACCCTGGTAAATTCTTAATCCATGCTGTTTCCAACATCATCTGCTCCATCTGCTCCATTGCTCGATTTGGGGATCGGTTTGACTATGAGGACAAGAAGTTTCTCAATCTAATTGAAATGCTGGAAGGAAACAACAAGTACCAGAACAAAATACAAACACAGGTTTGTGCAATTTCATTTAATTAATAAATGAATTAATGGTTTAGGTTATTAGTGTTATATTCATTTGTGTTACTCATTTATCATTGGCATGCTATTTCATTTTATGGAAATCTCATTGTACTTCCAGAGCAGAACAGAACTGCTAAAGCAGTTCAAGTAAATTCACTCCTTGAGTATAGTGAAACCATGATTCAGAAGAGTCTACTGCTTCTCATAGTGACAGTTAGGGGAAAAAATGACTGCAAGCACTTCAACCAAAATACACATTTCCTCCTTTTATCATTGCAGCTCTACAACACTTGACTTGTTCCTTGTGGGAACTGGGACAACCAGCACCACACTGAGATACGGACTCCTGATTCTCCAGAAATACCCAGAGATTGAAGGTAAGAGGAAAGGGAATATTTACTTGAAGATATATCATAGGCCATGGGTTCAAAGCAGACAGTTTGTGTCACTTCCACTGGTGACAACAGTCCCTAATAGCAGAGATGTCCATCAGTCTTAGCTTTACTTCCAGCAGAGAGCCATCAGTACCAAGTATGTTCCTGTGCTCTTGGGAGGGGGAAAAGCAAGCCTTGCTGCAACTGTGAGGAAAGGCTTTGGGAAACATCCATTCAATTTACTTATTCCCCAACAGAGAAAATTCACAAGGAGATTGACCGTGTGGTGGGCCAAGACCGAAGGCCCTGCATGGCAGACAGGAGCCAGATGCCATACACAGATGCTGTGGTCCATGAAATCCAGAGATTCATTGATTTCCTTCCCCTCAACGTTCCACATGCTGTGACCAAGGACATCAAGCTCAGAGACTATTTCATACCCAAGGTCTGTTGCTGGGAACATCCATAATCCCCTGCTGTGCTGTATTAATTATGCTTTACTTAAATTACATACACACTGGAAAGCAATACAGAAACAGCATCATTTGATTTCTGAGAGGGAGTTGTCCTTCTCTGGTGATGCTATGCACTGAGTTGTACAATGTTGTAGCCTTCCTTTCATGAACCAGTCTTTTCCTACGTTTTGTTTCCAATACAAACAGTTATTACTCTATGAACTGCAACTGTGAGGAAAGGTAGTTAGCTGGCTCCAAGATATGAATGGCTGCTGTGAAAAAAAGCTTTCTAGATGTCCCCCGAGACTCGACTGCTGGCACTTTTCTGCATTTACACCAGCTTTTCTCATGGGATTTCAACACTTAATTCTGGCAGACAGTGAAGCTTACTGGGATCACACAGCAGTCACAAAGCAGGGCTTTTCATGTATTCAGCCCTGGGAACTGATCCATGGGGCTTCACTTTGGCATGTCTCCACTTAACTTTCTCCTCTCTATGCTTATTCAGGACACCATGATATTCCCTTTGCTGTCTCCCATCCTGCAAGACTCCAAGGAATTTCCTAATCCAGAAAAATTTGACCCGGAACATTTCCTGAATGCAGATGGTACCTTCAGAAAGAGTGACTACTTTTTGCCATTTTCCACAGGTAAAGAGCTCTTTCTACGTCAGGACCTAGACTATCCTCTCCCAGAACCTCTTCAGACATTTCAGTGGCTCTGTCTTCCCTGTCTGAACAGTGATGTCTGCAGATCTGCTGCTCACTTCTGGGCAGCTAAGCTCTACCCCATATACTACAGTTTCAGTTTACCTCCTTTTCTTAACAAGTACCAGAGCTCCTCTGATGCATCCTCCAAGAAAAGATGAATGAAGTGGGACTTGTAGCCATGCCACTTCTCTCTCCTAGCTAGCCATAAAGCAGCAACACAACACGAGAAACTGAAACCTTCAAATTGCATTGGCCCACCCAGTACTCTCACACTGTTCTGAACACTGAGACCTCAGTTTAATTCAATTCACTTCCCCAGAAGGATGCAGTGCTGCATGCCCACTCTGAGACGTCGGAACTCTCACGGCAGAGGGGTTAAAATAAGTTACCAGCAAAAGTACTCTACCATCATCTCCTGTTCTCCTCATTCTTTCCTTGCAGGAAAACGCATCTGTGCAGGAGAAGGTCTGGCCCGGATGGAGATATTCTTATTTTTAACATCCATCCTGCAGAACTTTACTCTGAAGCCCGTTGTAGATCGCAAAGATGTTGACATTTCTCCCATAGTCACCTCTCTGGCAAATATGCCCCTGTTGCATTGCCTCCTACGGGACTGACCTAAAACCAGGCCAGGACCAAATGACTGCACGTACACACCAATATGATGAACAGCAAAATGGCGTTTATTACACGTGAACTCTAGCTTATATAACCTATGTGCTTCATCTACGCCCCTAAGGGCACGT